TTCGCAACCGCAGATTCGACCAACTGCGTCTCGGAAAGAGCACGGCTAGTGGAACCCGCGGATGCGAAACCCGCGGACACGGAGGGCTGAAGGGGTCTTCATGCTGAATGAGTCCAGTCGAGATTCCATCCATCTTTATACCTCCGGCCGTAAAATACACTCGTTCACATTGTTTCATGGAGGAAGGCAAACGTGCACAGCCGGGGATGGTCAGAGTAACAGCGTGAGGCTGGAACCTATGGGCATTCATTCCACGTTCACTTCGCAGGTATCTTGGGGTGTCTGTCCTGGGGCAGACACTGTCTGAGGCCCTGACAGGGACAGAGTCATGGTCATGGAAGTGCGTGAGTGCGTGAGCTGTGCCTCCCTAAGCCTTGCGATGAGCCTCTCACAGACGGTGACGTGTGGGGAGCAGCCGGAGGCCAACGTGGGGGCGGAGAGAAGATGCTGGAAGGCCTGGGAGCAGCCCTCCCGGGGTGTGCCACCTGTGTCCACAGCCCCTGGGTCCAGTCGTAGGCATGGAGCCCAGCTTTATTCAGTCTACCCATTCAGATGTTAATCTCATCGAAAAAACACCCAGAACCTTCGTTCAACCAAATATCTGGGCCCCATGGCCTAGTGAGATTGACACATAAAATTAACCATCACACCCCTTCCGAGGTAAGACATCAGTGGACACGAGGGATGGAGAGTTTCCTGCCTTGGCTCAGGCTCCGCAGACAAGAGCTGAAAGGGGCATCATTACCCCAGCGGGGCGATGGGGATGCGCGTCTCCCATGTGGCCACAAGGTGGCGTCAGCGGAGGCAATTCCCTGGATGGGGCCGTGACCACCTTTGGCGGCTGGAAAGGGGCTCTACCCTGGGGGCTGAGGCTGGGTTTCACTCTCTGGCTGTAGCACCGGGGACTCAAATCACAGGTGTAGACCAGACTTACAAAAGGGAAGGGGCAGGACTTGGCAGCCAGACGATTCCATGGAAACCTGGGTTGCTCTACAGATGGAGCTGAGGGTCCTCCTTTCTGCAGCCTGGCACTTGCCCTGGCTGTTTCCCAGAAACAGCCCCGAGGCCTCTCCCGATCTGTCTCACTTTGACAGGGCAGCTGGGGCTGGTGCACAGAGGCTCAGTGATGCGAATTTCCACGGGCTCGTGACTTGCTCTGTTTGCTGCTGTCAAATAGGGTCCCGGTGACTGACTGGGGTCTCAAACCCAAAGGCAAGGTCAGTTTTCCCTCAGTGCAGGGTCCTTTCTAGAAGGGAGCCCTGGTGGGTCAGTTTGGGGATTCAGAGGGGCCCGACTGCTCCAGTCCCCTCGGGCCTCCCTATAGCAGCCCTTGGTGTCCACTGGCTGCTGGATGGAGTGACCCCGGGCTGGCCCACGCACTGGGCACCTCCAGGCTCTGGCGGACCCTGCTCCTAGTCCACTGGAGACCCCACGGTCTAACACGTGGGTCCTATGAGTTTGGCTGGTCTGTGCCTCTGTCTGGGGCTGATGACACCTCATCACCCAGACCCGTTGTAAGTGGTGTCATGGTTTTTCACTTTTTGTCATGGGCTTTTTCACACTGCGGAGAATGTTGTAACCAACTCTGCCATTTTAACCGCTTTTTAGCGTCCTAGTCAGTTGTCTGTTGGTTTCAGTTGCTCTGTTTTTACATGGGGACGACACTACCATCCTCCCACAATCCCCTGCTTCCCAAGGCTCTAGCTTTTCAAAGAAAATTCACTGCTTTGCTTTATGCCAGTACTTTAATGACAACACTCCTGCCACAGCTCCAGGACTGACAGGTGGCCTGGGTTTGGGCTCTGCTGACGTCTGATGGGGATCTGGGCTAAGGGGATGGCACACTTAACTCACGGATCAACACGTGTTACAGGTTGGGGGCCAACATGAAGACCTGATGCCCACCGTGAGGACTGGACCTTCTGTCCCACTGCAGCTCTGAGACAGTCAAGCGACGGGCGGCAGGTAACAGATGCTTACAACCTCATCTGATTTTTAGGCTGCTCTGGCTGCCACCGTGAGAGTCTGACTGATGCTAACCCAAAGGCTACCTGTGACAACAGGCACCAGGAGGTGGCAGAGCGCAAAAGGGATTCGTGGAAAAAGCCTTTCCCTCCCTCAGTGACAGGCTGGCTGAGCCATCCAAGTCATGTGTGCTGCTGAGGCAGGACCAAAACACGCGCCCGGTCCTGACTGCTGGGGACGAGCTCATACCCCAGGCCGAGCCAGGGTGTGAGGGCACGTTCCGGCCTCACCTGCTCCCACCCTACGTCCCAGCCAGTCCCCTCGGCCACTCCCACCGAGGCCAACTAGGAAAGTCAGGGACCTCATGGCTCCTGATGGGGGGAGGGGGGCGCCACACCGCCCCTCCCCCCACCCCACCCCAGCAGGCTCCGCTGCAGGACCAGGGGTAGGGTGGCCCAGGTTTCTGAAGGCCCACACCCACCCATTCTGCTCTCTCTGGGCCCTCACTGATGAAGGATCTACTTTGTTACTAAAGAAACACTGCCTCGGGCATCGTGCCTGAGATGGGCCTGACCCTGTGGAGTTTCAGGAAAACTGCAGCACGTCCTCCTGGGGGAGCGAGCGGACTGTCAGTACCCGCCCGCTCCTGACTCTGCAGCTGACGACCTCCATCTCTCTGCGGGACAGGGCGCAGGGGTCCTGCGCAGGCTCCCGCTGGTCCCGAACTTCTGCAGTGCCAGCACGCCGGCCCTGGTCTCCCCCTCCTTCAACCTCTGAAGTTCCTGACAACGTCAGACTCTTGGAGGGAGACTGCCATGTCACAGGAAGAAAAAGACATTCTCTTCTTTAAACAGTTCACATTTATTATTGATAACAATAAAAAAATCTTTTAAAGACTATCAGTATTGTATTACCAAGAGTGAGGTAATATGTTTACAAAACATGTACAGAATTTGATACGTAAATAAGGAAATTAGGAAGGAGAATGAATTAAGACACTAGTAATAGAGGGGAAACTGAAAGAATCATTAGTGCTGAAAAAAGGTGAAACGAGAGCAGCTTTTAAAAAAGAGGGCAGGGCGCTGGGAGACAGTGAGCCCTGCCATCGAAGCCGACCTGCCCCGCAGTCCCCTGACGAGGAGAACCGGGTGGTGTGTTACTCAGGAGTGAACCCCGTGAGCATTTGTGCAGTGATGTGCTTTGAACTCTCAAGGACGCAGTCAACTCCTTGGGGAGCAACAGTGCCACTTCTGAATCAACTTAAAAAGAACAGATCTTCAGGCTGGGGGAGGGGGGTGGCTGCAATCAAACAGTCCTACAAACATCCCTGGGCTGATGTGGACTGTCCAAGTGAAGCGTTTTCCTGGCAGCTGTCAGCAAAATCGCCATCTGAGACACAGAGAAAGAGACAAAGAAAGAGAGAGACAGGACCGACTTCAGGTCCTTATAATTTGGAAACAGGAAACACTGACGGGGAGCAGCATGGATGCACGAACTAACCCTGCTGTGCTCTCTGGAAAGCAGCCTTTAGGTGCCAATGGTGAGCTCATCTTAGCAAAGGAAATGCAGAGCTATGCATGCTCCAGAAAGGCCAGCAATTGTGGGAGAGCCCACGGGCGTCTTGGGCGAGCGGGCAGCCAGAGCTCAAAACAGCCACTTCTCCTGAGCCCCTGCCCTCGACACCCCTGTGGGCACACGCTCTCCAGTCACGCGGTGCCCACCTGACGCCACCACCGCAGACTGATGACAAGGCGACCAGCACAGCCGGGTAAGGGCCGCCGGGGTTTCAGCACACATCCCTCAAAGCACAGCCTCCGCCGTGCACACCACACACCACACGTCCTCACCTGGGGGACTAACCCCAAAACAGCAACCAGACAGACTCGCAGACAACCTGCCTTTCCCACGAAAAGCAGAGAAAATGAGGGCCCACACCAGACAGACCAGCTGCTGTAACTGGGCATCGAGAAGGAAGAGTAAAAAGCACTCTGACCTCGCAAGCTGACCTGCTTCTATGAACGCGAGCCCCTGCCTACGTCGGGCCCAAGGTCGCCCACCGTGACG